CTTATAGTTTGTTTTTTTATTGTTGAGGGCTGCAGTGGTCCAGTTTGTTTGGTGACTTTTCCAAATTATATTTTGCAAAGGCTGTATTTCTTTTAGTGTGTGGGCATTGAAGTTTCTGTTTTATTATCCCAGCAGTCAACCATATCTGTCTGGAGCCCAAAAGGAAAAGAAAAAAAAGAGCCACTCTTCTGGTCTTTGCAGCTTGTCTCTGAGCCGGGGCACTTCAACATTGAGCTAGACTGCCTACTGTGTCTTCACCTTCCATTTCCTACCTGTCCCAAACTCAGAAGTGCAAATCTAGGGTCCTCTCAGGTCTTTTCTGAGCATGCGTCTGGTCTTGGGCATACGTTTTGCACTCTGGTTTCCATGGTGTATGTAGCGGCCCTTCCAAGCCCTTATTTCCATAAGAAACGTCTACTGTAGCTTCTTACTTCCCAGTCTTTTAGGTGTGTCTGCTGATTTCTGTTTTCTGTACTTTGCCTGCTAGTATATGTTTTTAATCTTTTAGTAGATGCTCAGAAAGCTACTCTAGGGTGGATGGGGTTGTGAAATAAAGGTTTAGCTTCTGCATCAGTTCCTTAGGGAACTGCCAGGCAGGTGAAAACACACAACTGTAGTATTTTAACAACAAGGCCTATATTAACCCCTTGACAACCAGTAAGCTACTCCAGGAATATAAGTTTCTATCTCTACAACCAACAATTTGGGGAATGGGAGATAGTAGACAGGTAAACAAAAATTTCACAATGCTTTCAAATTGAAATTGAGCCACCTTTTTTTTTTTTTCCATTAAGCAATTCCCTGGTTGCTTCAAGTTTTTGATTCCAGAGTTGATTCTGTCAGTTCTTGCCAGCTAATGATTGTTTTAGTGCAGTGGTTCTCAACCTGTGGGTCGCGACCCCTTTGGCAGTCGAACAACCCTTTCACAGGGGTCTCCTAAGACCATCCTGCATATCAGATATTTACATTATGATTCATAACAGTAGCAACATTACAGTTATGAAGTAGCAACGAAAATAATTTTATGGTTGGGTCACAACATGAGGAACTGTATTTAAAGGGCCAGAAGGTTGCGAACCACTGTTAGTGGAAGGACTAATTCTTTGAGTGTCCTGCTCCACTGTTTTCTTTGACATTATTCCTGAGTTGTAAGTTTTATATTAACTTCAATGTATTCTTTTGGTAGGTAAACTTGATAAATTGATTTATAGTATGTTGCTTCCCCTCTTACTGTGATTTGTCACTGAAACTTTGCTTTTTAAAGTTTCTGAATTATTAAACTTATGTACAGACTTGTAAAAAATAACAACTTTGGAAGTGGAGATTTTAAATTCGTTGTTGAAAGGAATTGAGTAGAATGTTGAAAAAGCTGTATGATATGTTTGTGGAATTTAGAAACATTCCTATTCTCTAAAAACTAATTGATATAATCATGATGTATATTTCTGTAACTGTATTATTATTACAAAGCTCAGCAAGCCACTCCATACTAAGAGCACTGGGAGTGTTTGTTCTCTTAGTATAATCTTGAGCTCCACTTAGTGTTCTGTTGTCTTATTTTGATATTTCAGTGGTAAAAAAGCAGTGTGAGCTGAGGAATTCTATTCATGTTTATAATGCTGAAGAGAAATAACCTTTTTTCTCACTAAATCACTAGAATTTAAAAAGACAACATGGGAGAGTTAGAAATAAGACTTAATTAGTGTCTTTATTTAAAATTCTCATTTCATTTCATGTTGGTAGGAAAGAAAACTGTTGCAAAAATAAATCCCTTTTTGAAATTTGGTTTCTTTTAATTCTTAATGAAGTATCTTCAAAATCATTGTTAACTGAATGCTGGCCTTTGGATTACTGGCAGCGATTAAGTTGAATCTGTGTACTTACATCAGAAAGTTAGCAATTTATGCAAGCATTTATCATGGGATGAAGTCCATTTCATGTAGTCTTTTTAGTAGTTTGTAATACTTGCTTGATTCTGATTATTAATAAGCTGGAGCTTGTGAAGAATTTTTAATTACATTTTTGTTCATTTCAATAAATAATAAGAGGAATCTTATTTTTGAAAGCAAAAGTAAGAAATTTTATCATGATCAGGTAGCTGCACATGAATATTTTGGAAGATTCTTTTCAGGAGGAAAAACTTTCTGATTTATTTTTAATTCTGGAGTAGAGAGGTGATTGACTTGGCAACATACAGTATACCAAGATGTTCTTTGGTTTGATAACCTATTTGTAGCTTCCAGTTATTCCATATCCTAATATATAAAAAGCCAGGGGTCATCATGACAGAAACAACCGGACAGATGACTGAACAGCCGGCTGAGTGGGGCGACCAGGCTGGCGGGGTGGGGGGGGGGGCAGTTGGGGGCGACCAGGCCGGTGGGGGGGCAGTTGGGGAAGACTAGGTCGGCAAGGGGGGCATTTGGGGGTGACCAGGCTGGCAGGGAGGGGCAGTGAGTGGTGACCAGGCTGGCAGGGGGGGCAGTTAGGGGCAATCAGGCTGGCAGGCAGAGGCGGTTAGGGGGTGATCAAGCTGGCAGGGGGTGGGCAGTTAGGAGCCAGCGGTCCCGGTTTGTGAGAGGGATGTCCCAGATTGGAGAGGGTGCAGGCTGGGTTGAGGGGGACCCCCCCCCGGCCCCCAATGCACGAATTTCATGCACCGGGCCTCTAGTTAACTATAATGAAAAGCAATCACTTTGTCTTTCAGGAAACCTTTGTGACTGACATTTACTTACTGCCTAATGTTTTATAGGAATAATCCTGAAGTTTTTCAACCGTTTTTATTCTGTAGGTGAATATTCAGATTGTGAATTATATATGCATTTCTATTTTTCTTTATATTCTGACTTTTAAGCTGCATTGTATCTTATTCACATCAGAGTGCCTAAGGAAGAATGAAGAGAAAGTGAAATATAATCAGTTTTCCTATTCATTAACTCCTGAAGGTTTAATGTTTAATCCAGCAATTTTCAACTGTTATGCCATAAGAATTTTTAAAACATGCAATATCTATTTAGTCAGGGGTACTGACCTCTCTTCCCTTATATTGTCAAATTAAAAAACGACAACAGCCAACACAACAATAGCTGTCTGGTGTGAATGAATCAAAATTATACCTATTTTTTTTTGTCAGGCAAAAATGTAATATTTTTTGATGTGCCATAGAATTTTAGTAATTAGTTTACTAGTATGTGCGGAGATGAAAAAGGTTGGTTTAAACTTGTGGCTAGAAGGTATGGAACTGGCTGGTTCTTTGATTTCATTTTATCCTACCTTTCTCTCATGAATGAAATGAATAAGAGACTGTTCTATCCTCTCAGATTAATTAAATTGTGACCTTGTTAAACTGTAATAGGCTGCCAAATTTATTTAGTACCACTCTTCTTTGAAATGAATTCCTTTCCTTCAGAACTGCTTCCTGTGAAAACTCTAATCACCATTAAGAGAAAATAACTTGTAACTTAGAAAATATTCTTGTTCAACAGACAGTTGAGATCTATGCAGTTTGCTAAGTTGGTTGTATGATTTAGACAAATTTTATTGATAATATATTCTTGGTCATTTGAGTTTTAAGAATTTATAATTATATAGAAAAAAAAGATAAGGATCCAAAGCCCCTGGTTCCTCCCCATCAATTTGTACACTCGATAAGACTGATTGCTTTTGTGCTAAAAATGATTTGCCTTTTTTTGTCTTCAGGAAAATCTGATTTGAACAAAAATTCTCACTCTCAAATGGTTATTACACTGCTAAGGCTGACACTTATGAGCTAGATTACTGTTGGAGTCAATAAATCCATGCATTTCTTCTCTTTTTAAAAAGTCATTTTTATATTCCTTGTCCCTATAGATAACCACCTAATATTAGTATTTATTCATATTTAAGATTTACATTTAAAGTAAAAAGTCTTCGGTGGGAAAGCACAAATTTTACCTTCCTCAGAGGAGTTCAATAGATGTATACATGTTTTGTTTGCTTTTAAATATTAGCACGTCTCTTTTCTAATTAAGAGTTCAGAAAATTAACATGAAGTTCTGATTTTTGTAACAAGAATTAAAGAGGAGATTGTTCAATAAAATAACCTTTTTGTTTGACTTTTTTAAGTCACAGAAATATATAACTTTAAAAATATATCTTTGCTTAATGTCTTCTAGAAGTAGTTCTAAAACTGGGGAGGAGAAATAATATGCAAATTGATCTGCTAAGTAATTGAAAGAAACTGGACTTAATCTGTCAACATTTGGTTTTCATGTCAATAGCTTACTATCTATGTGATATTGGGTGATTACTTAATCTTTTAAAGTGTCTATAAAATAGGGATAATAATAACAATAATAGTACTTGCCTTATTGGAATTGTTAGTAGCTAAGAAATTGTTAGTAGATTGAACCACGTCCAGCACGGCCAGTGGTGAACCTGAGGAGGGGCGGTGAAGGATTCAAGAAAACAGACAAGAGAATATAGTTGGGGCCAGGCAGGTCACTGCACCTAGATGAGGACACAGTGATACCAGGAAGAATTTCATGGAAACTGAGCCCAAATGATAAAATTATTTCTTTCTCAGTACCTTTTATACCTTTTATTCATATTTCTCATTCTGTTGTGGTTGGTTTTAATCTGCCAAACACATTTTCAGAACTTTAGGTCATGGCAAAATTAGGAAATAATATTTTATCATCAGAGTTGAGTTTTCACTAAAGATTAAGTCTCTGCTAAGTGTCTCTTTTTCTCTAGTTGTATTTTGAAATTTAGATTAGTCTTGTCTCATGATACAGCATTCTACTTTGCATGTCGGATTTTCTTGACAACTTAATTTATATATATGGTTGTATTTATTCTGGTCTTCTACTTTAGAGTACTAGATATGATAAAAGACTAGGATAATTAATAGAAAAGGGGATATTTGATGGAGAAGTGAGGGTTACAAACCCTCGAGATGTTAAATGTAACACAGATAGTCTTCATCCTTGAATGTAATGGAATGCTTTATGTTCCCCAAGTCTGTGGATCTTTCCATTGATGAGTCCAGCTTGACAGGAGAGACAACACCTTGCTCTAAGTTGACAGCTCCTCAGCTGGCTGCGACTAATGGAGATCTTGCATCAAGAAGTAACATTGCCTTCATGGGAACACTGGTCAGATGTGGCAAAGCAAAGGTAATTTTTTTCTTGATTTGAAAATAGCGATTCCTTTTTATTTTCAACCATTTTTTCATTTCTTTTTTGCTAATTTTATGTGAATCTTTAAAAAATGCGAGACAGAAACAACAGAATTAAACCTAACCCTTGGCAGCTATTTGGGAGGCTGAGGAGAAGCCCCTGAGGTATAATATCTGTCCACAGTTCTGCCATTGTCTAATGCATCCTTTAAAGGCATAGTCCTCAGTAGTCCTCAGCACTTGTTCTTTTTTTTTTTTTTAAGATAGAAATAGTGGCTCATAGATATGTTCATTTCTGGTTAAATATAATTTGAGCTTATTTGATAGGGTACTGGCTGCATACTATTCACCTAATGATTGATTACAAATATTTTGTTTCTGGAGTCCAATATTTCACAGATGTAAAAGGCATCATTCAGTAGCATTTGAGGGGACAAAGATATCCTACTTTAAATGTCTCTGTTGAGTATAAGATTCAAATTTCAGTAATATTAATATAAAAAATGGGCTTCAAAATTGAGTCAAAAGTAAATTTAATGAAAATTTTTTTCAAGGTTTGTATCACAAGGTATAAATAAATACTAATGATCTCTAGTAACATTTGCTAAAGAATCCTTGGATATGTATGTCATATCTTTACTGCAGGCAAGACTTTGGAAAAATGGGATGAAGGTTTTATTGTTATTGTTGAGGGAGGATTCCATCTGAATGTAAATATATTTTCCTGTTTTTTCCCTTAGGGTGTTGTCATTGGAACAGGAGAAAATTCTGAATTTGGAGAAGTTTTTAAAATGATGCAAGCAGAAGAAGTGAGTACTTAGTTTGTTAATGATGCATTCGTTTCAAATCTGACATTCTCCATTGTAAGTAAAGAAAAAAGAATATTGGTAGATTATTTTATGTATTATTGACAGTAAAATTTTATTCAGAATATCACTCAGTTGTCTATGCTTAAAAACATAATTGGAAAGCCTGTGATTGGAAGGGCTTAAATTGGCATTGTTTATATTCTAAAATATTTTTATACTTATTTTTTGTTTATAGGATAAAAAGGTTTATAGCTTATTTATAGGGCGAAGTCTTTTGGAAATGAACGTTATCATATTACCTTTTTTTTAAAATAATAGTTTACTGACTTTTAGAAAGAGAAAGGGAGAGGGAGAGAGAGGAACATCGATGTGAGAGTGCAACATTGATCAGCTGCCTCCTGTACCCCCTCCACCCTCTCCTACCTGGAATAGAGCCTGCAACCTGGGCATGTGCTCTTGACCGGAAATAGAACTGGCAACCTCCTGGTGCAGGGACGATGCCCAACCAACTGAACCACACCAGCCAGAGCGATCATATTAATTTTAAAGATTACTAAATAGTATATTTGTACCTCAGAACATGTCTTCTACCAAAATTCCCAACTTTACATAATTCCAAGTAATGGGAAAAAGATTCCAAAGTAAAATAATCTGGGAGATATTCTTGCTTAAGGATTTTGAAGATTAGTTCTTTTATTTAAAGTACTTTCTTATATATAAAAAAGAAGTTGCCTTCTACAAATATATTCTCCCTCCGTCATGTGGATTTCCCAGGTAACATGCCAATACTCTAGTGTTCATGATGCAGTGTATAAACCATTCTAAGAAGCTTGGCAGTGAAAAGACCACTAGAGAAGGGCATTAGCAGATCAAGGAACCAACAGAGTAGAAAGATTTGGGTTACAAGCATGTTTGTGGATACAGAAAGGAGAAAGATGGGAAATGTAAGGGGCAGTGATGATAATGAAGTCCTGGAGAAGCTGATTGGAAGAATAGGTTTTTCCTCCAAAGAGAGGCATAGAGGGGGGCATGGACCTTTTCAGATAAACAGATATTTCAGTTTCCTCAGTGAAGGGGGTCATATTTACCTTAAGGGAGAGTTGTATGTATTAAGCACTAGCATGGGTATGTCAAGCACTTAACAAAGTCCATGGCACCTAGTGTATCTCACTAAGTTTAGCTAATTGTAGTTACACACTTTTCCAATTTGTCAAGGCACCGAAAACCCCTCTGCAGAAGAGCATGGACCTCCTAGGAAAGCAACTTTCCTTTTACTCCTTTGGTATAATAGGTAAGAGAAGAGTGAGTATGTATCTCATATATTTACTTAGGTTTTTATTTTTTTTTAGTATGAAGGGGTAGTTTACGTACATGCATACATACATACATTTATTCATTTAATTAATTTACTAATTTTTAGTTTTATTACTACTTTTTAAAAATTACAAAACTATCCCTTAGCATTGTTCTTTTCTACAAAGATAAAACAGAACTCTGTTTAGTTTTGTGCAGTGGCAGCATCGTAGCCAGTGAGGTTTATTTGAGGCGCGATTATTGCTAATTGGAAAAAAAAAAACACCCACAAAAAAAACAACAACAACCAGAACTCTTTTTAATTCCTATAATTAAAGAGCATTTTTGTAAACAGTATTTTTTTGTCTTCAATAAAATGTGATAGTATTGAATTATGGACTACTTTTTTTATTTCACTTATTCTGTCATAAACATCTTGTCATTAAAACAAATTTAAAATTTGTATAGTATTCCATTGTGCATTCTTGCCATCTTTGTTGTCATCAACTTAAAGGGGAATAAAAGACTTTTCATTATTTTATTTCAGAATTCAATAGAATAACTGAACACTTTGTCATATATGTATTGGTCCATTTTTATGACCTGCCAGTCTATTTCTTTGGCCCTTCTTTTGTTGTGGCTTGAGTCTCAGATTGGTAACAGCTCTTTGTATAATTAGGATATCAGTTTTTTTTATTTTAATGTCATGAAAATTATTCTCCAGTTTTACTCACACACACACACACACGGAATATATACACATACATATATGGTATAATTCATTGACCATAATTTATTTTTGTTAGGAGAATATTTGGGATAGGATCTTAGAAGGTCATGATCTAGAGCATTATTTTGCAGTTCTAGAAAGATGAAGATAAACTTTTTTAATACTTATATTGATCTAGAATACAATCTCAAAGTTGCTTTATTAAAACTCTGGTTATACTGTATTTTTCCTCATAAAAACAGTAGTGCACCCTTTGCACCCCTTTTTTTCAAAGACAAAGGTTAAAGCAGAGAATATGAAATCAGTTGTTTCACTTATGTTAGTTGATTTTTTATTTTTAAATACCATAAAAGTAGTAATTTTTAAATATTAAAGCAGTTTTAGATGTCTTAGATAAGATACATCATTCTTTGAGCCAAGTCCTAAATACTTCTTCGTTTGTAATACAAGGTTAATACGGAATGTATGCATATTGAGTTACCAGAAGTAAAGTTTCTGGGTTGCAAAGCTGATAATAAGTAGAAGACCTATATGTCTTATGTGACCTTTTCCCCCTTCATTGTATGAAAATACTAGTACTATTTTTTTATACTAGGAGTTCGCAGATATTATGCTTTAAGGGATGGGTACTAGCAATGGCAGCAAAAGGTAAAATGTGTGTACAGTATTTGTGTGCATGTGTGCATCACAGCATTAACTTTAATCTCTCCTGCTTACTACATTTTTGTAGAGTCTTGTAATCACTTCCTAGTATACTTTCCCCTTTAATATCAAGGAATATTTTGCTGCCCTCAGTTTCTATCCCTTCTATGCCTAAGTCATTTTATATAAAAAAGAAAAATTGTTGTTTGATTCTGTTGCAGGTATCATCATGTTGGTTGGCTGGTTACTAGGAAAAGATATCCTGGAAATGTTTACTATTAGTGTAAGGTAAGTTCTAATGGTTATAAATGGAAGTCTCTTTTGCTCTTCTCATTTCTCTGGAAGGTATAGCATATGTTCCATTGTGGAGGTATTATATGAGCACATACAGTATAGTACCTCTACTTAAATAATTCAGAATTCATATATTGAAATGAATTAAAACCAACATATATGACAGTGGAGAAAACCTATATTAGATGTCTGGTATTATCAACCCATTATTGCATTTTTATATGTAAATCGAGTTAAGGATTGACAAATAAAAACTAGCAGCATGAAAAAGAAGGACCACAATATAGAAACTGAATAATTAATTAAACAGCATTTTTACTTCCAGAGATTTGTGAGGAAACTGCATTCATGATAGATTACTATAGAAAAGTATACAGAACAAAAAAAGAACTTTTAGAAATTAAGATTATGATTGCTGAAATTAAAATTTCAATTTAAGGGGTGTAATATACAGTTGAAAGGTCCCCCCAAAAAGTAGAGTAAAAATTCCAAAACAGAAATGAGATAAAAGTGTCAAAGAGAATAATTCAATAACTACCATATTTAACTAATAGAAGTTTCAAAAAGAGGTAAGAAGAAATTATATAAGAAATGATGCATTAACATTTTCTCAATCTGAGGTGAGACATGAATCTTTATAGTTGGGAAGGATTCTCCAAATGCTCAGCAGGATGAAAAAAACTCCCAACTAAATTCAGTCATTGTGAAACAAAAGAAAAAAACAAGTCAGGTCATCTACGAAGGAAGTCTAATTAGACAGGTATCAGACTTCAAATTAGCAACTGCCGTTCCCATCACAGGGTCTTTTTAGGCTCTACTAAACATTTCTACTCATAAGACTTTTATAGATCTCATCTGGTACCTATGCCCAGTTTTGTGCCCTGACCTGGAATCAAACACAGCCAGGCAACTTCAGGCATCCCTCTTCTGAGAGAATCCTTGCAACAGTTTGTGCAGTTCAGCTTAGGTGCAAAAAATGAGATGACCTTCTGAGTGCAGGAACTACGCTGGGTTAAAATGCTCCATATTCCACAGGAGCCAATATCTCTGGAAACACATTTTTCATGGTGCCTGCAAGAAACACGTCTAGTTAGTTATGAGTCACTACTCTCAGGAAACCCAACCTATGGCTTCCTGTTAAATAATTATAATTCTCCCAGTCCATAGACAGTTTATCAGTCAGGAGGTGTTGCCTAACAACATAGTTGACATGCTACCTTTTATCAGGTCACTAGGAGAACAGAGCTAGAGATTTAATGAGTACAGAAGGGGGAAAGAATTTTATTAATCCTTCACTCACAGCAACATTGGATTACATTTGAAGACGACGGGGCAGTACTCTGAAAGTATGGGGGGAGATGATTTTAAGTCTAAATCTAGTCCTGGCTAAAGTATCAATCCAGTTAATTATAAATAGATAGGCAGGTAATCAGAAAATTTATTCCTTACCTATCCTTGTATGAATTACGGAAAAACAAGGGTGAAAGAAAGGAAGATGATGATGTGTGTGGTGTAAAGTAAGAGTGAAACTCGCCTTGGCGTCTAAAGAAAATAAATGTAGGAAATAATAGTTTAAGAATTAGAGAAAAATCAATGGATTAAGGCTCTGGCTGGGTAGCTCAGTTTGTTAGCGGTCATTCATAACAGTTGATGAGCAGTTAGTTGCATCTAAAGGACATTGCTCTGCCCAGCTGGTGTGGCCCAGTGCTATGAACCAGGAGGTCACAGTTCGATTCTCAGTAAGGGCACATACCCGGGTTGTAAACTTGATCCCCTGTGTGGGGCATGCAGGAGGGAGGCAGCCAATCAGTGATTCTCTCTCATCGATATTTCTATCTCTCTCCCTCTTCCTTTCTGAAATCAATAAAAATATATTTAAAAAATAAAGGACATTGCCCATTTCAGATATACATATACCTTCAAATTGAGGAATATAGTTAATATTCAAGTGAAAATTTTCACAATCCATTTTCTTCTGCATATTATTTATAAAATGATTTAAATATAAAAGCATGAAAAGGTCCATTGGATCTGGATTGTAAATGATGATGCCTAGTTTTCCTGATATATGAGGGTTAATGAAAGCATAAGAAAAGAGAATTCTATTTGAACTTGAAATAATTCAAAAGAGAGAAGGAAGTATTAATGATAACACATATTTCTTGATTCTTCAGTGTACACTGTTAAGGCAGTGGTATTGCAAGTGTTATTCATTGACTTTTAATTTTATAATCAACCTGTAAATAAAGCATGAAAAGTTAATTATGGTTATAGAACTGATTGCTAATGATATCAAGTTAGGTCATATAAAAAAAGTAAGTATAGAAATTGGGAAGTAGAAACACAGGAGAGAACAGTGTTAGAATGAGGAATAGAAATGTATATTTCCTTGTCTGTATTGGAGTCAAGAGATAACACTTGAAATGGAATAAATAGAGATTAGATTATTTTTATATTATAAGGGAAATAATGAAGTGATTAATATTTTTGTTATGATAAAATACACATACCCTAAATTTACTGCTTTAAAGTTAAGTATATTCATAATGTTGTGCAACCATTACCACTATTGTTTATCACCCCAAAAGAAAACTCTGTTCATTAAACAATCATCCCCATTCTTGTCTCCCTTGCCCTTGGCAACCACTAAACTGCTTTATATGTATATGGATTTGCTAATTCTTGATATTTCATATAAATGGAAACATGTGTCCTTTTGTGTCTGGCTTCTTTCACTTAACATGATGTTTTTAAGGTTAATCCATGTTGAGCATGTATCAGTAATTCATTTCTTTTTATGGATGAATAATACTCCATTGTATGGATATACCACAGTTTCTCATTCATCAGTTGATGGACATTTGGGCTGTTTTCACCCTTTGGCTGTTGTGAATAGTGTTGCTGTGAACATTCATGGACAAGTTTTTTCTGAACTTCTGTTATTGTTATCTATATTTGTAGATGAGGAAACTAAACTACAGAGCCGGAGAAATAATAGCTCAGGGCCACACAGGTAAAAATTGGTTAAGCTAGGGGTACAAACCTAAGCAATCTGATGTCAGAACTTATATTCTTTAACCACTGCTTAACCTGACAACTAGTAGGTGTCCAGTAAATGTTCACTTTCCCTTTCTTGTGAGGCCATTTTTGGGTATTGACAGTATTAATTTTGCATTTTTTTAGCCACTCTTTTAAGTAACAGACAATTGAAATTATTGTTGTGGTTACTATTTAACTTAAACTTTAATACTATATATACATTGGTTACAGTTTGGCTGTAGCAGCAATTCCTGAAGGTCTTCCCATTGTGGTCACAGTGACTCTAGCCCTTGGTGTTATGAGAATGGTGAAGAAAAGGGCCATTGTGAAAAAACTGCCTATAGTTGAAACTCTGAGTAAGTCTGTGGAAAGAGCTTGCTTATACAATGATGTGTTAGTTTACACTAAGAGTGAATTATCTTTGGGTTTTATAATTTTTGTCTTAGAGGTTTGCATTGTGGTGTTTGACTTGTGGCAATGTGAGTATGGTTTTAGCAACCAAAAAGTAATTAAAAATGCATATCCTTCAGGACAGGTAACTGTCAGAGAAATTTTTCTACATCATGGAATGTTCTATTTCTTAAATCATGCTTTTAAAAAATCTGTATAACAGATGAAACCTTGGAGTAAAATAACTAGAATTTTTTGGCAGCTCAAGAAAGATAATTGATAGTTATAGATCCTAAAAGGTCATACTTAAGTAGAATTCATTGATAAGAACAGTAAATATACAAGTTACATTGCTATGATACAACTTTATATGTGATATGAAAACTGTGATAACTTTATATATGCTGTGAAACTTTTTTTTTAAATTTGGGAATCCAAGATTGTTGAATTTAAATTCTAGTTTGCATTTTATTATTGAAAAGGTAAAATACCTTCAAATACGATTTAAAAAATTATATGGGTTTATATTTAGGCACCCTTAAAACTTTCTAGAAAAATCTATAATAATAAAAGTAATATGCTAATTAGACCGACGACCTTCCAGACAAAGCTGGGACTATGAAGGAAGCCTGCGTCCTGGGTGCCTGCTGGAGGCAGGAGGGAGGCCTGGGTCCTGGGTGCCTGCTGGTGGCCAGAGGGAAGCCTAGGTCCTGGGTGCCTGCCGGCGGCTGGAGAAAAGCCCGGGTCCCGGGTGCCGGAGGGAAGCCATGCTGGCAGCTGGGGGAAGGAAGGCTACTCTTGCATGAATTTTGTGCATTGGGCCTCTAAATGTATTATATAAAACTAGAGACTCAGTGTACAAAATTCGTGCACAGCCCAGCCTGCACCCTCTTGTAGTCCAGGACCCCTTGGGGGATGTCTGACTGCCTAAATCAGCAGTAAGACATCCCCCTGAGGCCGGGCTCATGGCTGGTGAGTGCAGAGGCGGTGGCGGGAGCCTCTCCCGCCCTGTGGCAGCACTAAGGAGCAGCGAGCTGAGCAGTAAAGAGCAGCGAGCAGGCGGGCGGTAAGGAGCGAGGGGTCCTGGTCTGCTAGAGGGATGTCCTCCTGCCAGCTTATACTCCTTACTGCTCGGCTCACTGCTGCTTTTTTAAAAATATATATATATATATATATTTTATTGATTTTTTTACAGAGAGGAAGAGAGAGGGATAGAGAGTTAGAAACATTGATGAGAGAGAAACATTGATCAGCTGCCTCCTGCACACTCCCCACTGGGGATGTGCCTGCAACCAAGGTACATGCCCTTGACCGGAATCGAACCTGGGACCCTGGAGTCCACAGGATGACACTCTATCCACTACACCAAACCGGTTCGTGCTCGCTGCTTCTTAGCGCTGCCGCAGAGGCAGGAGAAGCTCCCGCCACTGCTGCTGCGCTCGCCAGCCGCCAGCCGTGAGCCCAGCTTCTGACTGAGCGACGCTCCCCCTGTGGGAGCACACTGACCACCAAGGGGCAGCTTATGCGTTGAGCAACTGACCGGTCATTCTGGTCGTTCTGCTGTAACGGTCGCTTAGGCTTTTATTATGTAGATAATTATATAAAGCTAATATTGAATAGCATTATGAAATTCAACTGTAAGTAAATAAGAAAAATTTTCAACATTTATCAGTATCTAATTTTTAATTTTAATTTCAGAAACTACCTTACAATGAAGCAAACATGATGAGAGTCAACAGTCTAAAATTATCAATGAGCTTGATTTGTACAAAATTCAGAGAACCAGGGCAGGCTCCCACAATCTTTGATTTGTTGTCAATGTGACCTTGTATTTCTCCTTGACTTTTGGTGACCTGTAATGGTTTATTCTTTAGGCTGCTGTAATGTCATTTGCTCAGATAAAACTGGAACACTGACGAAGAATGAAATGACTGTTACTCACATATTTACTTCAGATGGTCTGCATGCTGAGGTACTCTATAGATTCTTTTAACAACAGTATTTCTTTGTTAAGAAACTTGGTATTTAACATTGTTAACTGTTCCAGAGTCTTACATTCAAGTTGGCTGTACTTTAGTCAGCAGCAGAACTTTCTCCTTCCCATGTGATTCTACCAAGTCTTAATCTTACTCCACTTATACAGTCCAATAACTTTTAATCCTGCTTGACACCTCTCTTTTAATCACCTTTACATCCATTCATCACCAAACTTTTGATGTCCTTGCTCTATGTGCAGCTTGAGGGATTTTTAGAACCAAACTTTGAGTATGTCACTCTGTAAATTAAGATGCTTCAGTGGCTTTCCCTTGTGACCAAGATCCTGAAGTGTGGTCTCTCAAGGCCCTTCTTGTTATGACCATTATTTCTGTCTTTAATCTTATATGTTCCCCTTTGCTTTCTGTGTATCAAACACACTAATTTTATGGTTCTTTTAGTGGGACAAAGTTACTGCTATATTAGAACCTTTGTTGCTGTTCTCACTGCTTAGGACTGTCTAATACCTCCTCATCTTTGGCACCTTAGTTTCATCCCCACTTCTTCAGAAAAGCTGACCAACCAGAAATAGTCCTATGTTACATGTTTTTTAAAATAAAACTTCATACCTTCTAACCCTTAGGCCAGGTAAAATTTTTTGTCGCTGTTCCTATTGTACTATAAGTTGTAATAGTGTAAGAACTGTGTTGCCCAGCACAGGACCTGACTCATAGCAGTAAATACTTGTTGAATAACTGAATAGATGAATTACATTATCTTAGAAATATATTGGCTGTCTTTTAAGTGCACATCAGTGTATGTGCAATGGTTACTTTTGAAGCTGGGTGAGGACAATTTTCAGTCTCACCTATTCTTGGCAGGAACATTTCTGTCTGGAATGTTCATTAACACTACTTATGATGGCTACAGTATTTTAAAATGCATTAACAACCAATTCATCGAGCAAAGTAAGCATTAGACAAATTGACATAACTTGTCCATTTTACATAGGCCTTAAAATGAAACTATTGATATTTAGGGTTTTAGATTTTGTTAAGGATACTCAATGCTATATTATTAAATGTACCTTTTCTAGATGACTCAGAGGGGTCATTGGGGTTACATGTGCTTATGTGGTCCAGGTATGGAAGGTAGAGGATTTAAGTTTCTCTTTTGTTTTAAGCCCATAATTTCATATGTCAAGCATTAACCATGTGTAATTTCTCTCTAAACTGTCTTATTTTTATTGTGAAATTTAACTTTTGTTTGGCTTTGTTTGTTCTAGCCATATCGTATAAGTATATGGCTTGTCTCAATCTCTGATTTTTAAAACTGGTGTGTAATATGCTGTTACAGTAGTTTGGAAGTGCTAGGATAAATCACTTAATATCTCTGAGCCTGCGTATTTGCAAAAAGAATTCTGCTTTTGTCTACATTATGTTTGTGATGAATGTTAGATTTGGAAATGGACTTGAATTCTTTGTATGTCGTAGTATGTTATTAATATAACTAGAGGCCTGGTGCATGAGATTCGTGCACTTGTGGGGGAGGGGAGTCCCTCAGCCCGGCCTGCGCCCTCTCGCAGTCTGGGAGCCCTCGAGGGATGTCCAACTGCTGGCAGTCGGACATCCTTAGTGCTACTGTGGAGGCCAGAGAGGCTCCCACCACCGCCGCTGTACTCGCCAGCTGTGAGCCTGGCTTCTGGCTGAGCAGTGCTCCTCCTGTGAGAGCGCACTGACCACTGGAGGGCAGCTCCTGTGTTGAGTGTCTGCCACCTGGTGGTCAGTGCACGTCATAGCGACCAGTCGTTCTGCCGTTCAGTCGAGTTGCATATTAGCCTTTTATTATATAGGACAGCCGTGGGCAAACTACGGCCCACGGGCCGGATCCAGCCCGTTTGAAATGAATAAAACTAAAATAAAAACGACCGTACCCTTTTATGTAATGATGTTTACTTTGAATTTATATTAGTTCACACAAACACTCCATCCATGCTTTTGTTCCGGCCCTCCGGTCCAGTTTAAGAACCCATTGTGGCCCTCAAGTCAAAAAGTTTGCCCACCCCTGATATAGGATGTTTTATAAATTTAAGCTCACTTACATATAGTGATTTTCATGTTTTGTAGTATACTATACATAGAAACAATAAGATTATATTGATTATATTAACGATCATATTGTTTTTTCTTACGATATACTATACATTATTGTAATTAACTATTATACTTAATTATTAGTATTATTAACTAAAGGTTCATCATTGTGGCAAAATGGGAATTTATAGTTCATTAACTAAATGTTTTTTAGACTAATTTACATGCTTTTTATGTATACATGCTAAGTGTCATGATGTATAAAATGAAATGAATATAACTCATCATAGATTTTGTTTTTCATAGGTATTGTCACTGTCTACTGATTATATTATTGACCCTACTTTATGTTCCCCAGGTTACTGGAGTTGGCTACAATTCATTTGGAGAAGTGATTGTCGATGGTGATGTTGTTCATGGATTCTGTAACCCAGCTGTTAGCAGAATTGTTGAGGTAAACATTTATTCCTTGAGAAGGTGACTTTCTTTTTGTTGTTGTTAATCCTCAGTGTAGGATATTTTTTCAGTTAATTTTTAGAGTGAAAAGGGTAGGGGGAGAGAGGGAGAGAAACATTGATGTGAGAGAGACACATAGATTGGTTGCCACCCATATGCACCCCAACCAGGGGCAGGGGATCACATCTGCAACCCAGGTATGTGCCCTTGATCAGGAATCCAACCCATGACCCTCTGGTGGGTAGGCTGACACTCTACCATTGAGCAACACCGGTCCGGGCAGAAGATGACTTTCTTTATAATGACTTAGGACACAGTGATGGGTTCATAGTTTATGTGTATTTCTCTTAGGCGGGCTGTGTGTGCAATGATGCTGTAATTAGAAATGACACTCTAATGGGGAGGCCAACAGAAGGAGCCTTAATTGCTCTTGCAATGAAGGTATGTATCTAATCTCTCTTCTTTGTCATATAAAATACCACCCTTACGAGAGAATGTGAGGCCATCAGTTTCAGTATTACTGGTTTTAGGTACATTGTTTTTACTGCCTTTTGGGAACCAGTTTTAGTCTTCCTGGAAATACAAAGCATAGAGCTTTTTCAGTATAATTTTATCCCTTAAATGCAAGAAACAGTGATGGATTTCTTCTAATTAAATGTTTCTGTTGTCTGGTTAGAGTGTTTTGTGAAAAACTCTGTGTGTGTTATTGCTGATAAATACTGACTTTCAAATGAGTTAAGGACAACACACTAGTATTTTTATGTAAAATTACTAAGGATATCATGAGAAATCAGCTTTTTCTAGTTGACCCTTTCCCTTCATTATTTTTTTAAAATATATTTCTATTGATTTTTTTTTTTTTTAGAGAGAGAGGAAGGACAAAGGATAGAAAGATAGAAACATCATTGAGAGAAAAACATCATCGATCAGCTGCCTCCTGCACACCCCCTATTGGGGATCAAGCCCACAACCCGGGCATGTGCCCTAACCGGGAATTGAACCAGTGACCTCTTGGTTCCTGGGTTGACAACCACTGAGCCATAAAGCCTGGGCCCCTTCATTATTTCTTAAAATGAGTCCAAAATTAGAATTTGTGTTAGATGCTGTTTCAGTGACCCTTTTATCTATTTCAGTTGATCTCTTCTCCTAAGTCCTACATTTGATTAAATGAGAAATCTAAAAGTCTAATCTGTCACTCCCAAACAAAAATAAAATTTCTACTTTTAAGAGAAATTAGAAAACTTTGAGACTTTGTGAAATAGAATATGCCTCTAAATGAGGTTACTTGAATCCAATATTGAAATGTTGGCTATTATAACACTTAATTTTAGGAAACAAAATAGATATTTTTAGAATATATGTTTTCTTTTTTTTTTTTTTTATTTTATTGATTTTTTACAGAGAGGAAGGGAGAGAGATAGATAGTTAGAAACATCGATGGGAGAGAAACATCGATCAGCTGCCTCCTGCACATCTCCCTACTGGGGATGTGCCCGCAACCCAGGTACATGCCCTTGACCGGAATCGAACCTGGGACCTTTCAGTCCGCAGGCCGACGCTCTATCCACTGAGCCAAACCGGTTTTGGCATAGAATATATGTTTTCTTAACAGACAGTAGCATTTTATTATCATTTGTTCTCCTTGTAACTAAAATAACATAGTATATAGCTTTATATAATAAAAGCCTAATATGCAAATTGTCTCCTCAACCAGGAATTTGACTGGGAGTTTGACCTGGGGGCAGGGCCAGCAGCGGCAGGCAGCCAGGGGAAGGGAAGCACCCCGGCCTGCAGCCAGCAGCCTCTTGGGACCCTACCCATGCACGAATTTCATGCACTGGGCCTCTAGTAGCTTTATAAAAGACATTCAAAAGTTGAATCTGTTAACAAGATTTACTATGTTATACTTCACTTTATCTCTTTGAGAGTTAAAGAATATGAAACTAGTTCCATATGGGTGGGGGACTCACATTGTAGGTAGGACATTAATACTGATGTGCTCAGAACAAATAAAAAGCAGACCAAGATACTAGATAGTTAAGTCCTAAACGTAAGAACAGTGCCAATTCAGACTAGGGACCTGGGCGTTGAAGGATAGGAAGGGTTTAGATAGTAGGTAAGCTAGAAAAAGCACAAATAAAAGCATAGAGTAATATGTAAGCATAGAATGGATTTTTGGCTTGTGAATTGGTTAACCTGGATGAAATGGAAGGAGTTTGAGTAACAGGGGATTGTTAAATAGACTATGTGGTCAGTTTCTGGAGGACTTTTGAAAGCCAGGAAGTAGTGTCTCAACATGTTTCAGTAGACAACAAAAAGTCAGCAACAAGCATATGAACTAGGTTTTAGAGTAGTTTAAAAAATATTTTTGAATATTTGGAGGAAAATGCAAAGGGGTATTGGAGGGAAAACAGCTACATGACATTGGTAGTAGTCAGAATATCAGTGGTAGGGTGAGGGTATAAGGGAGTAGAATGGGAGCAACAGGTAAGATAAGAGTTGAATCCCTAAGGAGTGAAGAATTGAATCTGAAATTTCTATTCATTATAAAAGTAAATGCTCAGTATTGGTTGAGTACCTTTTGTTGTCTCCTGATTCTATCCAGAATTGAGTCAATAGAGGTTTTAATATAGTCAGTGTTGAAGACTTAGTCTATGTATACTCCAGGTATCCAAATATCCAGGCTTTCACGTTGAATATGTTTGCTGCTATTCAGAGAAATACGGTATATATAGATGGAATACTGCTGTTGTGTCACCGTTATCTGAAAAATAATCCATGTATCTCTAGCTAGCCTAACTGCAAGTTATGACCCTTGTTCATGTTAAAGGAAAAAAATAGTCACATGCTGGTGAGAATTAACTTTCTTTTTGTGCTGTACAGATGGGTCTTGATGGAGTTCAACAGGATTATATCAGAAAAAGTGAATATCCTTTTAGCTCTGAGCAAAAGTGGATGGCTGTTAAGTGTGTACACAGGACACAGCAGGTATCTTTCCATTTTCCATTTAAAGAATACTTATTATATCTTGTTTAACATAGATGATTATTTTTTGTCCACCTTTAGATTTAAATAGTTATTGAGCATAACAAAAACCTGTTGTTTTAAAGTGTGTATATTCGTAGTATATAGTATATTCAACCCTTGCTATTTTAGTGTTCTCTTTGACTTTGTGCCTAGATATATCCAATTTTGCTGTGTGAGCAAACAACTTAAATGAATTAGAGCCTGTTGTCAGTTTCCTAGAGTTTGTGACATTAGATTCTTTCAACGTATATTTTGTCCTGATGACAGACTACTATAGATCTGCTGTTCTTTCACTGAAGGAATGTCTTTTCTTCAGAACGAACAAAACCACATTATTTTGTGAATCATATGTGTATAATTCGTGATAGTTGATCCAGCTTACAAACTGGCAAAATTACATGCACTGATATTTCAAGCTACTAGCTTGTGCCTGGGCGCTTTAGAAACTTTTACATAGTTGGTGTAATAAGAGTTCTACAATGTACAGTTTATCACTCATTATTGGTATATACCAGCTTAATGCTTAAACTTACTTTGCATGAATATATATATGTTATTTTTACATTTACTTTATTAGGAATTAATTGGTTATGTGTTTTCACCTGTGAACAAACATTTTGACACCAATTACACCTCTGTAGACAGGAGTGAGTGAGAGCATTTCCTCTCACGCAAAATAAGTAGGAAGCATGCTGGTTTTAAAAGAAAGGCCAAGTTGGCCAACCTTGAATTTGTTAAATCTGTCAGGAACTCTGTTCATGAGGGAACAGAAAGATATCTGTCTAATCTTTAAAGGTACTTTTATAAATTCTTGGGAAGCTACATATTTGGAAAGAAAACTATAAAAATAAAATGCCTGATATTTTAAACCTTATAACATAAAGCTTTTAAAAATTGCCTAAGAAAGTTTTCACCTGATGTTCCTTGACCATCTAGTTATATAGCAAGAATATCCTATATAATAAAAGGCTAATATGCAAATTGTCCCTTCGACTGGGAGTTCGACCAGGGGGCGGGTCCAGCCAGCCAACTGCCCGCGGCCCCTCCCCCTGGCCAGCCCTGCCTTGCCCCTGATTGATCTCCCCACGCTGATCAGGGGCAGGGCCGGCCTGCCAACAGCCTGCCCCCCCCCGGCCCCCCCCCACCCCCCGGCTGGTGGCTCACCCCAATCGGCCCTGATCCGGCCTGGCTGGCCAGACCCCACCCTTGCTCGAATTTGTGCACTGGGCCTCTAGTATATATATATGAATTTATTTGGAAGGTCTCCTTTTTTTTACATTTTGTATACTGTCACACAGTACTTCAAGATAATCTGGCTCATATAAAGTTTAAGGTTTAATGATTTGACTTCAGAGGTATTACATCCAAATTATACATTGAAAGTTGTACATAACAACTTGTACTTAAAAATGTGGGACTGTCAAGGATTGCTAGATATTTGGGAAAAATTGTCAGTATGAAAGACAGACCAAACCAGCAGAGACAGAGATCTCAGAGAAACAAAGATAATTCCGATGCTGAAGTAAATTTCCAAAGAACGTTTTTACAATTTTGTTATAAAAAAACTGACAACAAAATGCTTTAAATAGAAAGTTTTTCAATGAAGTTAAAGAATCTATCAGAAAGTAGAACAAAACATTAAAGAGGTGGACCATATAAAAGATAAAGTATAAAAATCAGAAAATAAATATAGGAGATCCAACATCCACCTGATAGTGGTAACAGGGAGAAAGAACAGAAAATGGGAAGATTTTATCAAATTTTCCAGAGGAAGGACTTCAGCTTTTAAAATAAAATTGCCCATCAGTTGGGGAAGAGATTGTATATCCAGATGCAGGAAAAAGTCCTGATACTGAAAATCTTCCTTCATAGGTGGAGGGCTGGGAAAGATCTAAGAAATAGGCTGGCTACTGCAGTCTGATGATTAATGGAGTTTTTTCAAGGGCAGCTTACATAGGAGGTGGGTTTTGGGCAGCTAGAAGACAATATGTTTGGCAGGTGCCAAAGAATTATATAGGGTAAAGGAGGGATACCCATGGGTACTAGTATGTGAATACTACCAGGTACGGGAAATTACTTTGCATGCTTGACAAGGCCAGGTCAACTGCCTGTTATAGGAATCAGCACATAGTAGGAGGCAGGGGAGGATTACTGATTTATGTCAGAATGAACATCAATATGATCAGCCAGTCTCTAAGTGGGGTTTGCCGGAAGCAATCTCTCCCAGGTCCAGCTTTTGAGTCAGGCGGCAGTCACATCTTGGAACAGTCTCTCCTCAGGAGTAAACACAAGGCCCATAATCAAGAAACTCGAGGGAGAATTTTAAAAGCTTCAGGCGGTTTTGGGGTGGGAGGCCAGGATCATATATAAAGGTTTAGGAATTAAAATAGCTTCTTTGGACTTCAAATTCAACACTGGATAGCAGAAGCTGGAAGATAATAAAGGAAAGCCTTCAAATTGAGAGGAAATTTATTCCGAGATGAACTTAAAAATGTGGGGTTGGAGTAAAAATGTTTTCAGACATTCCAAATCTCAAAATGGATATCCCACACATCTTAGAAAGATACTGGTGGATATGTTATTCCGAGATAAGACGATAAACTAAAGAAAAGAAAGATATAGCACACAATGAGTTCTAACCAGGACGGGTGAAAAGAATCCCCGGGATAGAGGTAAAGGGAAGTTTCTGGATGCATCCAGTCATGCAGCAGGCCTAGAAATCAGCCAACTCACATTAGAAAAGGAAAGGAGAACAAGAATCAAGGAGGAAGGTCTTTCTTCAATAATAATATGGGAGTAATAATTTACCTGCTCATTTGATCATGTGAAAAATATCATTTAGCAGGGCTTTATATTACATGGAAGAGTTCCTGAATAATTATTAATAGGTGTAAAGACAACTAAGCAAATAAAAAAGAGGCAGTTATTAACTTTCTAAAAGATAAAACTTAGACAGGAAAATAAATGTTTTATTTATATAGGCCAGGAAACAGCATCTTGCCTTCCTGCTGCCCACCTACACTCTAATATCTGTTCACTACTTAGTAGCTTTGTCTCAATGTGAGCACACACTGTAATAACGTGCAGAGAAAGAGCATCTTATGCTCTGGTTTCTAAATTTCCATTTGGAAATGACACAAGTACTGCTCATATTTATTGGTCAAAGCACATCATACCTGACTTCAAAGTGGGAGAGAGGGTCAGGGGAATACACTCCTACCAGTGCCTGCACAGAAAGCTGGATGTGTATGAAGTGTTCTAGTGACTACCACTTCGTTCAACAGTGAGGAGTCATAAAATATTTAGAATACTAACAAATTTTGCTTTAATTATATTATAACTAGGGGCCCGGTGCACGAAATTTGTGCAGGGGGTGGGATCCCTCAGCCCGGCCTGCACCCTCTCCAATCCAGGACCCCTTGGGGGGATGTCCAACTGCCGGTTTAGGATTGGACATCCCTCTCGAAATCTGGGACCGCTGGCTCCTAACCACTCCCCTGTTGGCTTGATTGCCCCTAACTGCCTCTGCCTCGGCCCCTGCCACCGTTTCTTTGTCAGGAAGGAGGACCAGACGACCGGAAGATGTCGGTCGACCCAGTCTAATTAGCATATTATCCTTTTATTAGTATAGATGATATGGAAAGGAGGAATAGGTAGTGGGGGTGGCCAAACTACCACCTATCCCATTAGACAATTATAAAATTGATAAGCCATAAATACAAACATATTTAAAAACTTTGAGATAAATACCAAGGAAAACATCTATAGAGTTAAAATTGGCTTGCCTTTTAGGGTAGGACTAGAGGTAAGAAGGTTTAGGCAGGGAACTGCAGTTTTTCATTGTAAGCTTTTGAATTTTACTTTACTATGAAGAAAAATTGAAGAAAAAGTCTGCTAATACCCATAATTATAAGGTGGTTGTGAGAATTAAATGGGGTCACATGTATACATATAATAACAGCCAAGAGAAGAAGGCCTGAGTCATTGCTTGGGCAGATGTTTGCTCTCTTTCCTATTCCTGTTAAGTTGTGAGCCTCTCCTCAAATCTCAGAGTGCCTACTCTGGGGCTTAGTATAGCACTGCTTTCAATGTGTAAGGGTGAAGGTAGGGAGAAGATGCTGTTTGTAGGGTGCAGTAAACCCCCACATATGAACTTCTAATTTTCAGAGTTCAAGTGCCACTCAAAGCCTTAGGCTTGAGTAGCTACCCTGGGGATTATGAGAAATGAATACCACTTGCTTTTGGATTCCAATGGCAGATATGTACAAGTTGAAATTAATTTGAATTTATTTGCTCTGTTATTTTCTTCCTAGGATGGGCCAGAGATTTGTTTTATGAAGGGTGCTTATGAACAGGTGATTAAGTATTGTACTACATACCTTAGCAAAGGACAGACTTTAACACTCACCCAGCAGCAGAGAGATCGGTCCCAACAAGAGAAGGCACGAATGGGCTCAGCAGGGCTCAGAGGTAAGGTTGCTTCAGCATCGTCCCCATGGGTGGAAAGGTACTGCTTTCTGTTCAATGCAGATAAATTCATGCTTCACACCTGAGCTGTATAGCTCTAGTCCAGGCTTCGTAGAACCCTGCCATTTCTGAAGTGTTATGTTTTACTTGTCTAATTGACCCCCAAAAAATGGAAAAATGGGAATATAGCAAAATATGAAATTTTACAGACCTGCAGTGATGTATGAGTAGGTGATAAAAATTTTATTTTTATAATAGTTTATTGATTGAGAGACGGGGGAAGAGAGGGGGAGAGAGAGAAAAACACCCGATGTGAGAAGAAATCATCTATTGGCTGTCTCCTGCACACCCCCTACAGGGGATTGAGCCCACAACCCGGATAAGTGTCCTTGTTCGAGAATTGAACTGTTAATCTCCCAGTGCATAGGACAATGCCCAGCCAACCGAGCCTACGGGCCAGGGCAGAAATCTTAATTGTAAACAAGTTTATCTTGTGAGGAAGGAGATGGATGGAGGTAAAGTGATGTTACTCCTTCTTTATTTCATTAATTTGACAGTCTTATTTGTTAATAAATCTAAAATACTTTCCTAAATATTGAAGTCTTAAGCTTCTAATTTGCTCTTTAAGCTGAGGCGATTGCTTACTTGTTCCTCATCTGCTTTATTCCTTTGGCATTTACCAGTGAAGTATAGAAGTGCCCAGATTCTGTTTGTGTTGCTGACTAAACATGATGGGGTGAGAGGATCTGCTGTGCACACACACCTCAGGCCACTTCTCTTAGGGACATCGTGTATGATTCAAGAGGCAGGGGTTGGGGCCATACCTGGTTTTTACCTTCTGAATAGTCATCTGGCTTGTGGCTAGTTATATATATATATTTATGAAGTGTCAAGGAAATTGGAAGAGTTGGCTTCTTTAATGTTATTATTTTTACAAAACGAAGTCAAACACTACAATTTCTGGGAGAAAGAAACAAGTTATGTAAAAAATCTTCATACTCATGGTTCACTTAAGCAAGGGCTTTTTGTGGCTATACAACATTTATATAGGTTTATAGGACTTTCTGATTTACATGTTTAGAAAGGTATTCTTGTGGTTTTATCTGAGGGCACAGTTTTGTTATCTTAGCAGCTTACAACAGAGGGTTTCAAAATTGGCTGGGATTTAGAGACACAGAAAGTCTTAAAGGTTTGGTATGTGCTTCCTGTTTTCCTTAATTTTTGGAACAGGGGTTTCACATTTTTTAAATTCTGACTCTTCTCATCTGGAGGAATATGTAGGTTTTGTTGTGTGTTTGCTGTTGTAATATTGTGAAGTAGATCAGAGTTGGTAGAAGACAAAATCTTTGTTTCACGGGGCTTTAGAAAACACTGGTCATTTTTCTCTTGCATCTTGTCTTCTCCACTTCTGCTTGTGCTCCATCTTCCTCTTCCCCCTGAAAGTACCGTAATGAATAATAGAAAGATTTTAAAATTTAACTTTATATATACTTATGTTGCATCTTATAAAACTTAAGTTTTTTAAAGTAATATTCATAATTTTGAAATTAGAGTATGTTTGTTTTTATATTTTATTTGGGGACCTTCTACATGACAAAGGTCTACCTACCCTGTCCCAAACAGTAACAGTAGATCTTCATTTGTTCTAAAGAAGCAAACAGATAAATATAGGATACTAAGCTCTAGGCTAATATCACCCCTCCATTGAGAGTGCCAAGAGCTGATCTCCCTTTTTGACGCCAACTGATGCTGTCCCCTTCTGTTACTATCTGCCTCTATTCCAACACTAGGGACTGTCAAGGTGAATTCATATGCCGAACTATTTATGTAGCTGTGGGGCCCACATCTTACACTGGAAAAATAGAAGTTATTTGCCTTTACAGTTGGTTTTCTTAATATATCTAATCCCCCATGCTTCTGTTTGAATAAGAATGGATACTTCCTGTGATCTTGCTGGGACTTTCAGATTCCCCATGAGATACATATGTTTAGTTTGTGTGCTTTTATTGTGTTTTCTGTGATAAATTCTTTAGTCTAATAATATCCCAGGTTGAGACACATCCATTGGTTCATAGGTAGTAAAGTGAGGTTCCAGAATTCTGAGAATAAGCTAAATGATATTTGGAAACGAACAGTACTTTATACTACATCTTAAGTGCCCAAGGATGACAGAAAGCTAACTATAAATAATTTTAGGGTGGTGTTATTTATATACTCTTAAATTACCAGAGTTGCAAATAAGAAATACCTGTTAGTGTTATAGAATGAAAGAATCTAAACTATTGTTGATGATAGTGGTTTTATAATCACTTTATAGTTAACTTTACCTCCCAGGGTAATTAACTAATATAGTGACCTCTTCAAGCTATTGAATTGTTACACAGACCTATAAATTGGAAAGCTGAAGATAACATTAGTAGAAGCCACCTTCAAAGGTGTCTGTTTAAAATTGACTTTAAAGCCCAAAAAACCTATAGTTTCTGCAAATAATTAATTGAAGTTGCCAAAGAGCCAATAGTGTATGTTGAAAGGAGCTGAATATGGTTACTATGTAAAAAATTTTTTTATTTGCTCCTCATTTGCCTTCCCTTCTTATTCCTTTTAATTTTTAGTAACTTAAAGCAACCTTATATCTAGAACCATTAAACTATATTGTCTTACCACATGATAATTTTGGTTCTTAAAGATCGTATAGCCCTACCCGGTTTGGCTCAGTGGATAGAGTGTTGGCCTGCGAACTGAAGGGTCCTGAGTTCAGTTCCAGTCAAGGGCACATGCCCGGGTTGCAGGCTCAATCCCCAGTGGGAGGTGTGCAGGAGGCAACAAATCAATGATTCTCATCATTGATGTTTCTATCTCTCTCTCCCTCTCCTTTCCTCTCTGAAATCAAAATATTTTTTTTAACAAAAGATTATATAATAACTACAATGACATTATAGTCTTAAGTGATTTATTTGAGAAGTGTTACTGCCTCCAGCTTTTGTCAAGTAAATTCTTTTGTTTTTGTGACTCACATTTTCTTGTTTGGATTTTATTATTATTTCCTAAGTTCTTGCTTTAGCTTCTGGTCCTGAACTTGGACAACTGACATTTCTTGGCCTGGTGGGAATCATTGATCCTCCTAGAACTGGTGTGAAAGAAGCTGTTACAACACTCATCGCCTCAGGAGTATCGATAAAAATGATTACTGGAGACTCACAGGAGACTGCAGTTGCAATCGGTATAACTAGGCTGCTTCCTTTTGTTTTTGATAGTTTTTTTTTAAATTATTACAGTACATAGTTTTGTGAACCATTAGACTTGAAATGTGTTTACATAATAAAATTGACTCTTGTTTGCTCATACTCTATATAAAATTGTGGCCAAACTTATTTCAGTTTAAAAAATAATACCTATCCACTATGCTGATGGATAAAAGCATAAATGTGAAAGGAAACATGAAATTTAGTTTTTCCTTTTGACTGAGTATTTTCAAAGCAGACCTGTACCTACTTTGAAAGAAAATAACTATATTTATGATTCTGTTGTTTCATCATATATATGACTGTTTTCTTTGAATGCCTTTTATGATTACTTTAAGAAGTAAAAGGGGGGGAAATGGACATGGAAGTTAATCTCCCAGAACCAGTAAACTATAGTTCTTACTGATAAATTTAAGCAGTTTGCAAAAGTCCATTAATTCTGATTTTATTAAAATGGAGAGAGATTGGGACAGAAGTTTCACACTTTATGTTATCTAAGAAGGATGTCATCAGAAATGTAACATGGTTGGGAAAATTATACTTAGAAAAATTTGCAATTTTTATTTTCATTTACATGCAACTACATGATTACCGCAGATTCACCACCATTTTATTTGATTTTGTTTACTTAAAATGCACTCTGATCTTCATTAAAATGGAGATGCTGAGCAAAACTTCATTGGCCGTGTTTCACTTCTTAGGTTCGATAGATTAAATTGTGAAAACTATTTACTCTCAAATTTAAACAAAAATAAGAGTCAAACAGAAAACTTCAGACTTTTAAAATTCAGATAGGTTTGTCTTACCAGTAGTTGTCTTACGATCCCTTGATATAGAGGCATTTTATACTTAAAAGGAAGCGGATAACAATTATTATTAACTGAGCATTATGTTTACCCTGTCAAACAAAACCAATTTGGTTAATTATGTTTTATCTCTATTTTACTTTAGCTAGTCGTTTGGGATTGTGTTCCAAAACTTCTCAGTCAGTCTCAGGAGAAGAAATAGATGCAATGGATGTCCAGCAGCTTTCACAAGTACTACCAAAGGTATGTCTAAACTAAAGCCTTTTTAGACAAAAGGCCTTATTCTAAGTGTTACCATTTCTACTACTATGAAAACCAAACTGTTCATTTCAGAACAGTTGGGATATGACTATCAAATTTGTTGTTCTAAATCATGAAATGAAATCTTATCATTGAAATCAGTTCTATCATTGAGAGTATTTGTGATGTGATCATTATAACTATTATTACTAGTGGCCTAGTGCACGGATTCATGCACATTGAAAGGAAATTAATTAGAAGAAAGGTTCGTGCGGTAATTACGTTACTGCAAAAAATTACATGTCAAAATAGTATATATAATATAGTATTATAAAATTGAAACACACATGCCATTGGCACCAGCGAGAGCTTTATGTGTATTGTGCATGCGCGAGTCAATATTTATTTTTCCCGGCGGGTGGGGG